TAGAAGCGTGATTTCTAAGCTTCTTAGTCTCGCTCTAGTTATCGGATTTTTCCGGTAGCGTATACTATATAGCTAATAGTTGTATGTTTGTCTAACCGATACTTATAGTAATCGTCTTTAGGTGGTTAGAGGCGAATCTTATATCCTTTATCCCTGGTTTCCGTGATAACCTAGTTATCACGTTATCTTTTTAAATAGACTCTATCTTCTAGGGTTTATTCTGTATTCTATGGCTAGAACTTATTAGCGTATTTACGTTCCTTATATATAAGGTATATATCCTTGATATAATTAACTTAAAGGATTAGGCTATAGCCTGGATAGTTAGCGTGTATTATCTATCCTTTCTTATACGTTTAGTACTTAGGTGGTTAATTATTCGATCCTTATAGGCTTATTATTAGGCCGGTAAAAGTATCTCGGTCTTCCTAAGTATAATAAGGTCGCTAATATATAGTTCGTTGCTATTTTTTGCTAGTATCCGTAAATACTTTACGGTAAGCGTTATTAAAGCTAAGTTTAGTAAAATAAACTTAGTGGATTTATCTAAGGGGTTCTTCCGCGAGCTAATTAAGTATCCGTAGCTAAATAGTTTCCTCCTTAATTAGGTCGGCTACTTCTATAAGTTAATACTAGAAGTTTATATTATTATCCGGAACTCTGTCGGACTCTGTTTCCTAATCTTACTCTTCGAGTTTAGCGATTTCCTCCTATATATAACGTGTATAATCTTCTTTCTTAAGTTAGTATTTCTCTTCGGGAGTAAGTCCTACTTCCTAGAGGGCGCTAAAGCCTCCACTACTAGTATTCGTGTGGACTTCCTATTTCTTCTGGATCTCTAAGATCTGCTTCTATCTTTTAGCTTCTTCTTTCGTCTATCCGTTTTTTTAAAGGATTTCTACGGTGGTTTATAAAACTAGTCTATTATTATCCTAGTCGAGGATTTTAAGGCTATAGTCGTTATCGTACTCGTTACTAGATACTATAACGAGTATCTTCTAGGGTCTCTTAGGGTAGTATCTAGCTCCGTCCTTCTCTGATTAGTATACTAGATAATAGTTATCGTAGTAGGTTATGTAATAGAGGTTAGCGTATAGTGTTTCGTCCTTATAAATTTCTAGGTATCTAATAGCGTTAATTTCCTTCTAGGGTTTCTCTTTTCCGATTATATTAGCCTATTATTACGATTATTCTCTTTTAGGCTATTAGTAATTACGCGCGAAGTAGCCTATTTTATCGTAATTATAGTATTTAACTTTACTTATATCTTTCTTACCCTGCTTATTATTCTATCGGTTAATATTATTAAGCTTTATAGGACTATTATAGTATCTATACGAGGTACTCCCGAATTAGCGTAGGTATAGCTATTTCCTACTACTATTAGCTTAGTTCCTCCTATAATAAATAGTATATATCGTGGTATTCGGGTTCTAGCGTTTTATTATTCGTTATTTAAGTTATCGGTTATCGATCCGAATAGCTATAGCTATAAACGTGCTAAAGTCTTTTAGGCGGTTAAGCTTATATAGTTCGTCCTTAACTTCGTTTTTAAGTCCACGATAGTATTAGTCTATAGGGGGTTTATTATTATAGTCGAGCTTCGAGGCGATTTATTAAAACTTAGCGGTATAGTTAGCTGCTGACTTAGTCTATCGAAGCTTTTTAAGTTATTAGGTAGCGACCCTTTTCTTATCGGGTTACCTAAAAATACCGCCGAGTCGCTAAGCGATAACCTCGAAGTCGCCGAAAATAGCCGTAGTATTGTCCTCCCTCTTAGTAGGATTATTAAGGTACTCTAAATAGTCCCTATGGATAGGCTTAAACCACCTATAGGCGTCTGCCGTGAGGAGTACTATAGCGCAGAGAACTTTCGCCTCCTCCGTGTTAAGGGTGTCCCTATAGAATAAGAAATACCCCCGGAGATAGGTTAGAAAGCCTTATAGCTATCCCCGAGTTCTATTATACTTAGGTAGCTCTGGGTATTTATACCTTAGATTACTAGGATATAGTGCCTCGATCTAAGCTCGGAGTTACTAGTTCTCTCGGTGGAGTTACGTAATTTAATTACGTATAGCTTATATTAGGTCGGCGGCCGTGGCGGCCGTTATTTAAGTATTACTAGTAGCGTTACCCGTAGTATTAGCGTTATTCGATATATTACCTTTCGTTAAGAGAGTACTGCTTATTAGGTGTTAAGGTCTACTTACTAAACAGGATCGATTAAAATATTACGACGGCTTCCGGTCCTTTATAGTATAGCGGACGATAGGGGACTAGCGTTAAGGTTTTAGTTTAAAATAAGAAGAGGATATTAACTAAAGAGCAGTAACTATTATTCGTAGTAGTCTAGTCGTAGTTACGTCGTAAAGACTAGGCGTCTTCTTTATAAGGTAGGTTTAAGCGTAGAATAGTAGTCTAGGTAAAGACTTAGATTAATCGATACCTTATTCTCTAGTAGAAGTAAGGCCTAGAATACTAAGGTATATATAGGGTTATTCACTCTTACTTACTAGGCCCTTAGTGATTACTCCCTATATTATTTACTCTTGCTTATCTAGCCCTTAGTGATCACTCCCTATATTATTCACTCTTACTCACCCGGCCCTTAGTGAACACTCCTTATATACCAAAGTATCCTTTCCTTGTATCACGTGGCCTAACACGTGACCTCTCCCTGAGTCATCTTTTGGTTATGCCCTGGCATGCCGCCTGTGCATCCTTTGTGCATGTTAGGTTCGTTGGCTATAACAGGTGGTTTAACGGCCGTAAAACGGCCTTAATTATTAAAGATATAGATTAACGATCCTAAGTCTAGGATCGCGTAGTATAATAGCGCTCTGGCTTAGTTAATAGAAAGGGATACCCCTTATTCTTACTATAATCTTAATAGTGTTATCGTATAACGGCGCGCTACCCCCTAGGGTGGGTGGGCGCCTAGTCTCCCTATCACGGTAACGGACAGGTCTTTATAAACTATTAGAGTAGGCGTAGTATTATAGAATCAATCTTCCTAGACTTCCTCTATCTTATTAGTGGTAATAGCTACTACTTCCCGCCTCTTCTATATCGCGGTATCCACGCGGCTTTTCAAACTATAATAATATATCTTCTTTTCCGCGACCTTCGTACTATCTTCACGGCTATACTAGGTATAAGGGCGTATATCCGGCCTTACGTACTAATAGGCGGCGGTAGTATAGGTATTCTTATATATCTTATAGGGCCTCCTTATTATAGGAGGGATAGCCTTTCCGGATATATTATTATAAGGGCGCTTCTTATTATTATCGTTATTAGTAGTATCCTTAGTATCAGGGAGGTTCCTAAGGGTATTAAAGGCGCCTCTCCTAACTCTAGGCTTTATAGCGGTGGACTATAGGCTCTTTATATTACTAAGAACCGCCCGTAGAGCCTTTACGAAGTCGTTAAGTATTAGCTCGTTTTCCGTAATCTTATCGTAGTTATTTATTAGGTAGTTATTACTCTATTCCTTGGTAATAGGTCTAATAGCTTTTAAGGCGTCTTCCGCCGAATAGTCCGCGCTTAACAGCTCTAAAACGCCTACGTGTTTATAGTATATTATCGCTATTTTCTAGCTTATAACCTAGCCGTCTATATCCTTAGATATAGCCTTTATAGGCGTAGTATATCGTCGGTATAGGACTTGGGCTTCCTTATAAAGGTCTATAGGTATTAGTCCGGTATACACGTAGAGGAGGGTAATCTAGGCCTATAGGTTATTTACGGTATTATCCTATAACTAGGCGAGGAGGTTATATAATATAGTATAAATAGTCCTTTTAATATAGGAGTATACCTTATTAAACTCCTTTTACTACGCGTTATAGTCTGCCTTTTCCTCGCGGTATACGCGGCGATCTTATAGGTAACGCGTACGCCCCTTTTTAGAGAGGTTATCGATAGACGTAAACGTCCATATTGGTAGTTCTTTTATTACGGCCGTGGCCTTTTATTAGGCGGCCGTCTTCTTTTTACCGGCGGCCGTGGTTACCGTGGTACCGGCCGTGGTAGCCGTGGCGGCGGTATCCGTAGCGTCTATAGCCTTATCGTCCTTTAGCGTAGTGGAAAACAGAGTAGCCGTGATAGTGGAAGATAGGGTAGCTATAGCCTCCTCCGCGTCGGGGTCTACGGTAAGGGCTTTATATTTACGGATATTAGGCCGCGCTGGTCTAGGGAGGAGATAGGCGTTAGTCTCTTTATCGCTTAGCTTTAGATTAAGGTAATTATCCTAGTAAGAGGCAGATTTACCGCGTACGGCGCGCTCCTATACTACCTAATCCCTCTAATTAATAAGGGTAGTAGCGGCCGCCTTTTATTCGGCGTTAGATATATTAGAAGATGTCTTTACTAGTTTATCGTTTATCGGTTAGTTAATAGGTAGGTTAATTAATCTCTTAATTACTCTAATTAAGTCGATAATAGTTATTTTAGAGTGCTTATATAGATATAATTACTTTTATAGTAGAATAGGGGTAGCCTTATTAATATCTATTATTTAGGCGTTATAAACCGGGCTTATAACTATCGTATATTAAATAGGCACTTAGATAATTAACTTAGTAGAGTAGAAATCTCGTATATATATATTATATTAAGTTATATCTAGGAGTCTTTTATACCCTTAATTTAGGTGGTAAAGACTCTATTATAGGTAGTATATTATTTAGATCCTATCCGGTCTTTTCCGGTATCCGCCCCTGTTATATCCTGCTATCCGAGGTCCCCGATATCCGAAGCCCTTAGTTATAGCGTGGATCCCCCCTAGATCCCTTATAGACCACGTCGTGGTCCGTGTGCCTATGCGGTAGATACTAGCAGAATCTTTACCACTACTATTATAGTAGCAGGAATTCTCTAATAGTCTGTACACAGTTATAATTATATATAATTGCCTTAATTAATTTTAACCTATTTTATAACGATTTAGACTACGGTTTATTTGATAGTAGATAGAGTCTATACTACCTAAATTAAGGGTATAAAAGACCTATATGAATTAGATATAACTTAATATCATACACACACACGAGATTTCTGCTCTATCAGGTTTACTATACAAGTGCTATTTTGACGTGCGATATAAATGCTTATAAACGTACCCTGGGCTTAAATCAATGGCGATACTGTGAGATACGGAACGGTTGAAAATACCAATTCCAGATGTTCTTGTATTGAGCCACAAGGTCTCAACGGCCGACAATTTAATATTTGTCTTCCATAGAAAATGCATGACGGTCGTCTCTATGATCATGACCACTGTCCATTGTCCATTTTTGTTTGGCTACGTACCTATTAGCCAGCAATGTAATCATTCATCCCCTTAATCATGTCGATTGACCAATCCTGTGCATCCCAAGGACAAACGAGACGCCAGCCTGGGACGCCCGCCATGATCTACCGTGTTCCTAGCCAAGGCTTCACCTACACCATTCCGTCATCCCCGTCTGGGAGTTCATGCCCTTGACATCACACCCCAGGCGCGGATGATGTTGTCGGTGTAACCAGCAAAGAGAGTCTGGCCGTCGGCGCTCCAGGCCAAGCTGACGCACTCGGGCTCGCGGCTCTTCTTGCCGACGGCAGTGAATTCGGGCTTCAGTTCGTCGACCTTGCTCTTCTTCTCGAGGTCGAAGATGATGATGCTGGTAGCAGTGGCAGCACAGAGCCAGTAGCGGTTGGGGGAGAAGACGAGGGCATGGATCTCATCGTTGGCGTTGAGGGAATAGAGGTGCTTCGACTCGTTGAGATCCCAAAGCATAGTAGTACCGTCCTTACCGCCCGAAGCGCAGAGAGAACCGTCGGGAGAGATGGTGACAGTGTTGATGTAGCCGGTGTGTCCGATGTGGTCAGTCTGCAGCTTGCAGGTGTTGAGCTCCCAAACCTGTGTTTCTCAGTTAGCGATCATCCCATGCATGAGACGGGGTGTAGTAATCAGCCAACGATGAGGCACAGGAGGACATCAGTGAAAGGTGAATAGTTGGTCTCATGGCCCGCGTTAACAGGCTCTGAAGTAGCAAATACTTGGTATGGCATCATATGGAATTCCTGGCCTTCATTGGGCTGATCAATGTGAATTGTGAGCGCTTACCTTGACAAGCTTGTCCCAGCCGCTGGAGACAATGACAGGGTTCTGGGGATTAGGGCTGAAGCGGACGCAGGAAACCCACTCGGTGTGGCCCTTGTCCGTGATGGTGTACTTGCAGTCGCCTAGGGTGTTCCAAAGCTTGATGGTCCGGTCGCGAGAACCGGAGACGATTTGGCGGTTATCGGCAGAGAAAGAGACGGAGAGGACGTCGTTGGTATGGCCGACGAAGCGACGAGTGGTGGTGCCGCTCGAAAGCTCCCAGAGTCGGAGAGTCTTGTCCCACGAAGCGGACAGAGCGTAGGCACCGTCGGAGGAAATGACCTACAACATCCATCCCAAGCCTCCCGTGTCAGTAAAACCTGGTATTGCTGCCTCGAAGTGCATGTCACGTACACAGTCCGAGACAATGTGAGAATGGCCGTGCAAGGATCGCTTGGGATAGCCGTATTGGGTCTCATCGCGTGTCAAGTTCCAGATAATGAGGGTCTTGTCACGACTGCCAGAGAGCAGCATGTTGGGGCTATAATTGCAATCTTAACGTTAGCAAGAGCTTGTCGCCGCGGTGGAGTCGGCGCTGGTCGGAATGCTCGCGCCATATGCGTACTTCTCGATAGAGGTAGCCAAGCTGGTCACCCAGCCATTCTAGCATTGTTCGTCAGCGAAGACTTCGATTTACCAGGTTCCGAAATTGGGACATGTTAGAGAGCATATCGAACTTACATGGCCCTCAAGGGTGCCCTTCAGAACCAACTGCTCAGCCATTCTGAATGCGCGACAATCGACACAATTAGGGAACGGGAAAGGAAGGTGTGAATTGGTGGCTGTTGGGATTATCTGAGGTCGAGCCCGGGGACGTTGAGCTCCGGAAATCAATTTTTGTGTGGGTAGAAATGTGTAATTAGGGCGGGAGGGGCTCGCGTGTCTGATTGGCGGTCACGCCCTCAGCCTTGCATATGAACCTACCGAAGTAGTCAACTTTCCATTTTTCTCCGGGGCGGGTCCAGCTGACTTCATTGCAGTTTTTGAAGCGAGGAAACCGAGAGGTGAGCTACATTCCAGGTTGGTAGGGTACCTACCTAATAAGGTAGTTAGATACATCAGCTATGGGCAGATTGTTCGGTGTCAGAAACCGGCCCGGGAAATACGATAAATCAACCGCTCTGCACGTGTCTACCTCAAAACAACTGTTCTTCTCGCAGCCTCCGTTATTTGCTTCAGTGTGGACATACTTCGTCGCAAGGCACGTCACGTCTACCTTCCTACAATATGAGTATATGAGTAGATGGGTTTCTCATGGCGCGGCCCCTTTGTCATTATAGGGTCCTCAACCCTCACGGTGGTACATATCGATGTGGCTTGCACAACCCCAATGCTGCGGGACACCCGCCGGACTCTTGCTTGAAGAGTGCGGCGCGCTGCGCTGCATAGGAGGCGGGGAATGTTGATGCTCCTCAGAAGGCGACACATCCACTTCCCAGGTTTCGATTCTGGCGAGAATGGCGTCCCTTTCGATCTTGTGCCCGACTTCTTCCCTCCGCTCTTCTACACCTCTTCCAGGATCAGAAACGTTAGTTCGAGACTTTGCCCCACGTCCCGACCGCTCATTAGATTAGACTGCCGATCCGTACTTTCTCACCTATTTTATATAGGTAGGTATAAACATAAATATCGCTACTAGACTAACGTTAGATAATTAAAGCTATCACGATACTAAAAACGTTTTTCTTCCACCTAAACACTCTAACTTTAAGCACTTATAACTTTACCAGTTTTTCTATAATCCCTATTTTAAACCTATTACTAGATTTATTAGAAGAAGCTTTTTTTGATATATCCTGTCTTAACAGTTAATTACGCCTGCCTAATATTAAAGATATCGAGATTTAACGCCTATCTACGCCTAATATCGCACGTCAAATAGCACTTATATAATTAACTTAGTAGAGCAGAAATCTCGTGTATATGTATTATATTAAGTTATATCTATGAGAGTCTCTTATGCCCTTAATTTAGGTGGCGAAGACTCTATTATAGGTACTATATCATTTGGATCCTATCCGGTCTTTTCCGGTATCCGCCCCTATTATATCCTGATACCCGAGGTCCCCAAGATCCAAAGCCCTTAGTCAGGCATAGATCTCCTAGGGACCACGTCGTGGTCCGTGTGCCTATACGATACACCCCCTTAATTAAGGTGGGTCTTCCTTAGGTTAACTAACTAATTAAAGACTTTGGTTTAAACTAAAAGCTCTTAACTTTTCTAATATAAAATTAATAGTTAAGGGAAAACGCCCTTGTAAAAGGGATCTAAATCCGCCCTATTTAACCGTTTAATTTAATTCTATCTGAATTAGTTCCTCGATCCTGATTAGCCGGATCTACTGAATCGGATCTATATCTATTAGATGTACTACGCCCTCGTAGGCCGTTATTATTATTACGGCCGCGGCCTTAGCCGCGGCTTTAGTATATTGAATCTCTTCGTGTAGTTATTTCGACTACTCGATACGATCCTTTTAATCCGTTAAATTAAGCTATTACTATAGTCTCTTAATCCCTGCTTCCAGTAATGCCTTCGTTAAACCGTCCGCGATTATATCCTTTATATTAACGTATATAACGTTAAAAAGGCCTTACTATATTAACTAGCGCGCTTACTAGTTATAAATATCGATATACTATAGCCTTATTCGCAGGCGTTATACCTTCGTATTAATATAGTTAATAGTCTGCTAATTATCGTAGTGTAGCTATAGTTATTATTAATTTAACCGAAGCTTTAGATCCCTTAATATCCGACTAACGAATAACGTCTCCTTAGCGCCCTCTATAAGAGTGAGTAGTTCCGGCTCTATTAATAATATCGTAATTATCGGTTACTTACCCGCCTTCTAGTTAATAGTACCGCTGAAAACCTTTATCGCGTATCCTTAGGAGCTTTTACGGTCTGGATTATCCCTAAAGGACACGACGCTTATAGTCAGGAAGAGTCTATCCCCACCGAATTCCAGGCAATAGTACCTCGTATAATATAAGAATAGCAGCACTTCTTAAGCCCTCTTAAGGTAGTTAGAAGAGGGGTTAATATTATATTTGTCAGATGCCACTACACACTTATCGGGGTATGACTTGCGCTATTTATGTACTCGGATAGAGTACTTCCGACCGATGTATCCACATCGATTTCCCCTCCTTTTACCTTATAGTTAGATATGTCCGCAGAGTATCTTTTACTCTTCTTCAATGCACACAAATATCTTTTACGTACCTTATTTATCTACTGATAGTTATAAGCCCGGCGTTCTAATAAACGAAGCTATTCCGATAGATCCTATCGATTTAAGGCAGTTAAAATAGCCTTAAGTCTATAGCGGTTAGCTTAGTATTATTAGCTACGTCCGCCTGCTTTATTATAATCGTGTTTCCGTTATTCCGTTAAGAAAATCGCTTAATCCCCTCTTATTTAAATCGCTTAACTCGCTTAAGTCCTATCTCGTTCTATCTCGTTTAAACGCGCTCCTTATTTAATCGGTCCGTTATAATCGGTTTTAATAGTTTATTTCCCTGTAGTCCTAGTTAGTTAGACGATAGCCTTAACTACGGCGTTACCCACGATAGACTATATAATCCTCACCTTATTAAAAGAATAGCGTTATTAGATCGAGGTTATTATATAGATAGCCTACGCTAACCAGGTCTCTAACCTCGTTAATCTAGACTTTAAGGAATCTAAACGTCCTTAATAACTCGAATCCTCGGAACCTCTAGAAGAAGGTGATAACGATAATGCCTAGGATCGTAAGTTTAAGCTATAGAACGTAAAAGAGAATAAATATCAGTAACAGTAATAAGGTCTAGCTACTCTTCACGACTATATCGCGAAGATAGGTAATCCTAACTATAAAGATTAGTACGCAGGAAAGAAGGAGGTTAAAGATATCCTGATCGCCTTAAAGAACTATCTTAAACCTACTAACGCTGCCTAGAAGTCCCTAATTAAGAAGAGATAGGAAGAATATATATAAAATATACGAAGGATACCCTATAAGCGTTAGCTTCAGGACTTTATATCGTATTACTAAGATTTAAAGACCTAAAGCATTAGATCTTCTAATACTATAGAGGATTAACTTAACGCGTTTTTCAGGGCTATCGGTACTATAGCTCTAGAGTGGTTAGAGGCGTGTTTTACAGAGATTTTAAGGGAAGATAAGGAAGACTAACCTACTATCGAAGAGGTTATAAACGAATATACGGTTTAGTTACGCTATAGATATCCCTATGGGCTTAATAAAAAGCCTATAGCGTTATCGTTTTATACGGCGATATTCCTAGGAAAGGATAAAGATAGCAGATAGCATCCTACTAATTAGGGAGGTTAGTAGTAACAGAAAATGGAGGATTCTTCGGTAAGGGAATATATCTACGATTACGTTAAGATAGGAAGAGCTAAACACTACTATCATCCGTGGAGTGGCTGCCTAAACGTTAATCCGACGTGCCGCTAAAAGGGCTTTACGCCCTTAAAGGAAGTAGTAAAACGCTACGACCGCGTTATTAAGAGCTAGAGTGCTTCTAAGTAAAGGAAGTTCAGGGAGTATATTAAAAAGGATATCGATAAGGCGAAAAATAAGACAAAAGAGCCTAAAGCTAAGTTACTAGAGAAAGATTAGTCTAAGGAAGTATCTAATTTCGTTGATAATAGAGAAGAGGATTCTGATAATAGCTCTTATGATATATACTTTACCTCTAATTTTATAGGAGAAGCAGTGGCCTTATTATCGGTTTTCTCGCTCCTATAGACTAAATAGATGGTTAGTAATAACCGTTTCAATTAGTTATTAATGGATTCGGGGTCCTTAAGGTATATAACCAATCAACGCCACCTGCTCGAGGACTTCTAGCCTGCTACTACTAGTATCCAATTTTAGATAGATGGCGGCACCGTTAATCTAGTAGAGGGGTATAGTACCCTGCGTCTTTATATTAAAGATATAAAAGGATGTCCTTATACCCTTATGCTAAAGAATATAGTGTTTATAGATAGATACCCTATAACGCTACTAGTAACGCGCAGGTTATAGAAGGATTAGAACGCTGTTTTTATAACCGGCAGAGATATTTTAGTAATAGACCGATATACCTGCCTGCTGTTAATTAACGTTAATGGCGAATATACCCTTAAACCGACCGAGGGCACGCTGTAGCGCTTATAGTAGTAATAGCAGAGCTATTTTAATAGCTTAAGGGAACTAAAGCCTATAAGCGTGGCCGACGCCCGTTTATAGCATAAGAGGCTAGGGTACGTAAATTCTTAAACACTAGCGTAGTTATTAAAAGGCTGCGTAGGAGGTATTATGGCTTTAAAAGGAGGAAGAGCGGTACCTTTAGTGGTAGACTACGAGGCTTACGCTATTAGTAAGGTAAAAAGGATAGTATCACGACGTGTACCCACCTATAGGCTAATAAGGCCTTTTTAGTAGATTAATGTGGATCTGTTTTCTATAGATCCTGCCGCTAACGGCGACGATACTATTACCCTATTCTATAATTCTGTATAGATAAAAACGTAACCAGAACGATACTAGGGCATAAATATATACTATCCTTGATAGCTAACTTCGAAGTCTTCTTATAAAGGTAGTATAGGCTACTTATTAGTGTGATTAGACTCGACGGAGAGAGGGTGCTATAGAAAAAGCTAGATAACTAGTCTTTAGATCGTGGTATCCTGCTAGAAAGATCGGCTTTATATATAGTCGTATAGAACGCTAACGCCGAATAGTATAGGGGTATTATCTTCGCTATCGCGAGGGTATTAGTAAATACC